TCTCCGTGAGGCATAGGACACCAAGACTAAAATCAGTAATTATTTCATTTATTAATAGTGCCTTAGGAGCCAGTGATCTTACATTCATAAGTCCAAGTTTAAGTTTAAGTTTAAGCCCTGCATCACAGCTGTTTTCTAGTAACGGATTCATTGTAATTTTTATTAAGTTATTATGGCACACACTACGGTGGAATCGGCTTCCATGATTAAAAACGCGGGGAGCAGACACAGTCTCAATAAAATGAACCCTAGGTGACGACTCTAATCATTGACTTGGCCTTGAGTTTCAAATAAGGTATGTTGGCTGTGGCATGTTCAGTGAATGAGTGGGAAGCCTCTGAAAAATTAATGGAAGCCAAAGGGAGGATGGGGGATGAGTGTGGACCAGTTTGGCTTTCAGTGCCTGTTTGGAAGCTTGGCCTGAGTTAGTATATCGCATTAGGTGGCTGTAGCATGAACAGTGACCACATTGGAAGCCTCTGAAAAATGAATGTAAGTTTATGGGAGGATTGAGGGATGAAGAAAAAAATTCTCCTTGTCTGGCTTTTGCATCACTAGGTCTGGCTGCAAAGGGATGCAAAGTGGCTGAGTGGCAGGCCTTTGAAATCCCATGTTATTCTATGGGGCCAAAAAAAAAAATAATAAATGGCAGAATCTTGAGCATGCGTCTGAATAACAAAAGCTGTATACAAATACACCTGCCAGGTATCAGATTAATTTTTTAAACTCTTGCTGACAATCCCATACATTTTAAAACTCCTGCTGCCCCTGTCTCCTGCCTAGGAACGTGAACTCTACCCCCATAGGCATCCTACATCTCTGCATCACTGCATATGCACTATATTGCCAAAAATATTGGGACACGCCTGGAAATCATTGAATTCAGGTGTTCCAATCACGTCCATAGCTACAGGTGTATAAAATCATTCACCTAGCCATGCAGACTGCTTTTACAAACATTTGCGGAAAAATGGGTCACTCTCAGGAGCTCAGTGAGTTCAACCGTGGTACCGTGATAGGATGCCACCTGTGCAATAAATCCATTTGTGAAATTTCTTCACTACTAAATATTCCACGGTCAACTGTTAGTGGTATTAAAACAAAGTGAAAGCAATTGGGAACAACAGAAACTCAGCCAGGAAGTGGTAGGTGACATAAAATCACAGAGTGGGGACAACGCATGCTGAGGTGCACATCCAAACCTTACATCACCAAGTGCAATGCAACGCGTAAGATGCAGTGGTGTAAAGCATGCTGCCACTGGACTCTAGAGCAGTGGAGATGTGTTCTCTGGAGTGACAAATCATGCTTCTCTGTCTGGCAATCCAATGGACAAGTCTGGGTTTGGATGTTGCCAGGAGAAACGGTACATGCCTGACTGCATTGTGCCAAGTGTAAAGTTTGGTGGAGGAGGGATTATGGTGTGGGGTTGTTTTTCAGGGGTTGGGCTTGGCCC